CGCCGTCCCTAATTTTGAATTGGTAAACTAGAGGGAAGGCAGTTAGTCAACAACACCCACCACGGTCCAAAAGTACGGGGCTCGTTTTTGCGGCAACAGGAAGCGATTCATGAGCCCCCAGATTCACAGTCAGACACACTAACCACTATGTCACGCCTGGCCGCTGGGAGTAAGAAGGGATTTAGATAGAACTGTAATGGAATTCGGTGACTCTATATGACAAAGTATTTCTGGTTATACGCTTTGCAAAGCTACACTAATTTCACGGCTTGCGAAAAGAAATTTTTGATTTTTAAAAATATTAACCAAAGAAAAATATTAGGTTCGTGTATTTATTGTAGGATTAACCAGAACTAATTATCATATGGCTGTGGAAAAAAAAAAAAGAGTAAGAAAGATAAACAAAGAGAGGTAGAGGAAGAGATAAGGAGAGGGTGCTATCTATCGGACGAAATTTGAACTTACGATATGCGGATGATTGTTGTTGTTTAATAAAATACAACGAATAAGCTTAAAAATTGCATTTATATAATAGATGTTATATACATTAAAAAATTAAAGAAATAATCACTTTAAGCGTTTTTAATAATCAGTAAAAAAAACAACAAAATATTTCCTGTTTGTTTTCACAACGTTTTTAGCATTTGTTCAAGTAACACTGACGTACTAATTAAAGTCACATTTTTAACCGGATATTTTATGCTACATCTTAGTGGCGTATCAGAAAGCTTGGTGGTTGCTTTGCAAAATTTTAATACCGGTTCACTTAATATAAACTTTTGTATGAGGATTTTATTTAAAAACAATCATTCGTTCATCATATCGAATCCACTGAGCAGTCGCAAAGTTACAAGAGTCAAGAAACACCAGAGGGCGTGACAACCTCAAATATGACCAAATAACATGTTAACTTTTAAAACAAAACAAATAATTTTTTTCCCTTATTAATTTGGGGTCGGGTGTGGGTAACTGGTTAGCATGCCGTACTGTGATCCGAGGGTTCATGGTGCAAATCCAGTTGTCTTAGGATCGCTTTCCGCGCTTTGGAATCGTGGGTGTGGTTATAAGAGTGACGGTCAAATCTCACTATTCAATCAGAGCGCCTCAAAAGTTGGCGGTGGGGGCTGTTAAGTATATAACAGTGGTATATAATTTCAAAATTAGGGACGGTCAGCAGAGATAGCCCTTGTGTAGTAGCACAGCGATATGTCTGCGGACTTACAACGCTAGAAACATGGTTTCGATACCCGTGGTTGGAAGACCACAGATAACCAGTGGTGCAGTTTTTTGTGCTTAATTACAAACAAACAAACAAATTGACTAGCAATTTGCAGGTCGCGGGTTCGAATCCCCGTCCCATCAAACATCTTGCCCTTTCAGCCGTGGGGACGTTATAATGTGACAGTTAATCCTACTATTTGTAGTTGGCGAATGGGTAGTGATGACAAACTACCTTCCCTCTAGTCTTTCACTACTAAATTGGGGACGGCTAACACAGTTAGCCCTGGAGTAGCTTTGCGCGATATTCACAACAAACCAAAACATTTTGGAATTGGACATAATTTTATATTTAGGACAAATATATAAATTTTGATAAAACAACCTGCTTGCAAGTTTTTTTTATCAGATATTCTAATTACTACTGAGAAGAAAAAAAAATCCTGAAGAATTTGTCCCCAGATCATTTGGATTATTGTTAGTTTTAAAGATTTAGCGTAATCTGCACAACAACTATAAATGCATAGAAGTCCCTAATTTTTATATGATAAATAATATGTTTGTATTTTTTCTTATAGTAAAGCCACATCGGGCTATCTATTGTGTCCACCGAGGGGAATCGAACCCCCGATTTTAGCATTGTAAATCCGAAGATTTACCGCTGCCCCACCAGGGGACATTCATAAAGATGTTTGTTTGTTTGAAGTTAAGCACAAAGCTACACAATGGGATAACTGTGCTCTGCCCACCACGGGTATCGAAACCCGGTTTCTAGTGTTGTAAGTCCGAAAACATACCGCTGTGCCACTGGGGGCAGGTAACTAGTTAACAGTACTTTTGAGATACTCTTCTTTGTT